TGCCTAAAATTCATTATTTGCAGTACATTGTTGAAACAAACACTGAAATGACAGGAAATAGTTGCGCTAACAGATTCTTATATCAAATTGAACTCAGTGCAATCAGTATGCATTTCATAGGCTGGTCCTTTCTTATCCCATGAAGGCTGTGATCCTGTCTTACCCCATCTGACTATATACCAAAAAATTAGTCAGGCTCTAAAATTTTCTAATCATCTGTATTATATACTCCACTCATATTCAAATATAACTTAATTTATTATACATCCAAAAGGTGTTGTTTTACCTTGCCTGTAGAGTGGCTAGATGTGATTCAGCTACATGTCCAATAATTAAACAATTAGGCTCTCCATTAATCATAACTAATCAATTAATCACAATGTTGTAGTCCAGTCAGCAGAGTTCACATAAGCTATGTGAAGATTAGCTCAATCACCCTAAGATACAATACCTAGCTAAGCCTACCTCCAACCCTGAGAACAAATTTGGGACAATGAAACACAGGTCATTCCCAAACAACACTACACTTAAACTAAGAACAAAGTCAGGAGCCATTAGTACAGGATAAACCCTAGGGCACCAAATATCCTTCACAGGATAAGCTGGGCAACCACCCTCCAGAGGAAAATCCCTCAGGGGTGACTGCAGTATTCTGTTCAAGAGCCAAATTGTGCAATATGGTCCAACTTTGTGGTAAACAATAATTTTAAACAGAACATCCTAACCTGTGACATAAGGGAATCAAAATTACAGTAAGATAAGCAATAGCCTAGGAGTCTTGGTTGGCACAGAGATAAAGGTCCTGGAAAGGAGATAACAGTAATAAATTGTGGCACTTTCTCAACTGTAGACTAGCACAGGAAGAGCACTCTTTACCTGGTCCATGGATCACCCTGATGTATAGCACTAAGGCAGTGTATTTGCATCACTCTCATAGACACCACAGGCACACCCAAGCACTCCCCCTCACAACAACACCCCAGGTACTCAATGGTCTGGTAGAAAGGTTCCACAGAAGGTTACTGACCACTGGGGATACTGTACTGGGTAGCAGGAACTAGGAACCTCAATGGCAAACACTCAGGGCACTCACTATGTCTCCAAGTGAGTTAAAGAAACCTAGACATTAGCAATAGGACAAGAAACAAGGGTTACATTGGCTAAATAATGATAATGATTAAGGATCTTATTCAACTTAGTCACAAGACTAATCTATTAATAATGTTTCCTAACTACCTGCAAGAAAGTCTCTGGTTATACAAGCATATTAAAACAGTATTGGTTGAATATGATCACTGATTAGTGAAATACAGAAAATAAGCACCATTATCAATGTCTCATCGTAGTCCGCAATACTGGAATTGAAGGTGATGGGTGCTAATAATGGGCACACATATGAATGAGTCGTCTACTAACACTATCTGCCAATGATGAAATCAATACGATCACATCACTCGTGGGTTGCACAACTGGTTGACTAAATCCCTGGTGGTCTGAAAGTCAAAGCCCCATTGTACATAAAAGAGTTGACATCAGGCAAGTGTTCCTAGTGACTTGCAAATAGGGGTTTAAAACAAGTGTATCCAAATGAAGTGGCTAAAGACTTGCTTATGAACAAGACTAATATGCAGCTAGCTTAGTTAAGTAATGATAACAACGCCTAGGTTAACATTTAAACAATGAGCTTCAGCAAGGTGATCTTCAAGGAGCTGCAGTTTGGAAGATGAGAAGACTCAGGGCAGGAAGGTCAGGACTGGGCAAGTCTGGGTTCCAGGTCTCCTCAACAGCGTGCCAGCTGGGTCCCACACCAACTGCTCCTATCAAGTTAAAAAAATAATGGGACTAGAGTCTGTGGTCTTTAAGGTTAGTTAAAGGGGGATGTATACCTCAAATGAGGAGTATTTTGGTTTGGATTTAAACAAGCAATAATGCATAAAACAGCAAAAACACAGGACAAATGTCCAAGCAACATAGCAAGACAAGAAAAAAAAGTACAGTATGGCAAGGCAAACACTTGATATGAGATCTAATAGCTGTAATCATTCAAATTCAATGTAAAAGCAATCAGGCGAATAAAGCAATTCAAAACATGAACAAGGTGACATTAAACAGGTAACAAAGGAATAAGCAAGCTTTATTGCAGTAAATTAAGTGCATGAGTTTGAAAAGGACAGGTATACTATTATTCATGAGTTGATCAGGTCTTAGCAACTCACCCTTAGGGAGCAGCTAAGTTGCTCAGCAAGCAGGAACGGGTTGACAATGGCTTCCAGGGTTAAATGAGCTTCAGGCAATGGGCGCAGGTGAGGCAAGCAATTAGGTGCAGACAAGGATCACTAAGCGTGATAAGTGGTATGCTTACTAAACTTAACCGAGACTTTTAATAGTGCATGCTACACTTCAAACATGATGATAAGGCAGAAGCAATTGAACTTTTGACATTGCATAAAGTTGCATGCTCTAACTAGTGAATTATTGATGGAGAACAACACCTGAAACAAATACAAGGGAAGGAAACATTCATTAATAATAACAGTCACAAAAGTCCTAAATTAGATGGAAAGAGCAAACCCTATTAGGAAGCATAACTCGAAGTAATCAATACACCAAAGAGCCAGGAATGAAAAGTAAGAACCTAATAATCTAAGATTAAGCAAGAGGAGCAATCTGCTCCTCTTCATCATTCTTTCTGTGCTGCTTTTAATATATGATTTTTTCCTAATATGGGTGTTTTTCATTCATAAATGAAGTTTGCATGAAGGAGTAGATTGTCTGAAGTTTGTCATGCGAACAATTCAATATTCCATTGAAAACATATAGGGAATGATGATCTGATGACAAATGATAGAAAGGCATTTTTATGTTATATTGGTTTGATAACAAATGGTACAAAGGCATGTTTTGTGTTATATTGGTGTGATGACGAATGATGCAAAGGCATGTTCTATGTTATATTGATCTGTGTTTTGTGTTATATTGATTTGATAACAAATGATTCAAAAGCAGGTTTTATGTTATATAGGTTTGATAATAAATGGTACAAAGGCATGTTTCATCTTATATTGATCTGATAGCAAATAATCCAAAAGCATGTTTTATGTTATATTGATCTGATAACAGTTATATTGGTTTGATAAAAACTTACCAAAGGCATGTTTTACGTTATATTGGTTTGATAACAAATGATCCAGCAGCATGTTTTATGTTATACAGGGTCCTTCAAAAAAAAGTCCATGATTTCAATGGGCTTTTGCAAGACTCATACGACACATACAGAACAATTAATTTTATTTGTGAATAGCTTATTTGATGCCATTTTATATCACTTAGTACACTTTACTTGGTTTCGAAAATTATGTTTGATAAATGATGTCCCCCATTGTTAAGACATTCACGAAGTCTTTCCCTGAAGTTGCCCATAGCTCTTTGTGTAACTTCCCTTGGAATGGCTGCCACTTCCTGCCTAATGGCATGTTTTAGTTCTTGCAGATTTCTGGGACAATATTTGTACACTTCAGCCTTTAGGTAGCCCACAGAAAGACTCACACTGCTCACCGGTCCATGGAAATGTTAAGAGAGTTGTTTTCTGGACGTCTTGTGTCTTTAAGAGGAGACATTTCCTGGCCCCCATGGCCCCACGGTCACTCGACTTATCACCTTGCGATTTCTTTCTGTGGGGCTACCTAAAGGCTGAAGTGTACAAATATCATCCCAGAAATCTGCAAGAACTAAAACATGCCATTAGGCAGGAAGTGGCAGCCATTCCAAGGGAAGTTACACGAAGAGCTATGGTCAACTTCAGGGAAAGACTTCGTGAATGTCTTAACAATGGGAGACATCATTTATAAAACATAATTTTCAAAACCAAGTAAAGTGTACTAAGTGATATAAAATGGCATCAAATAAGCTATTCACAAATAAAATTAATTGTTCTGTATGTGTCGTATGATTTTTGCAAAAGCCTATTGAAATCAGGGACTTTTTCTTGAAGGACCCTGTATATGGTTTGATGATGATGATGATGATGATCACCACAACGTCACTCGACTGAGTGCCGCCCAGGCCCACCCCCCTCCGGAGCGCCGAGCCGGTCTTGCCACACTCTGACCAGTTGGGACACTTCCACTGGCTTATAAGTATTCCCTGAGCCAGAGGACGGGTCTCCAGCTCAGCGTCACCGAAAAAACGGTGTAGCCTGACTGCATCTTGTGATGCAGTAGGATGATTGTTGTGATTTGCATCCGAAGATGGTACTCCCACGACGTACACGCCACAGCATTGGGAGCTGTATATGGTTTAATAACGAATGATCCAGGGGCATGTTTTATGTTATATGTGGTTTGATAACAAATGATCCAGGCAGGGTTGGTGATTTTTTTGATTTTTTTAAAAAAATCAAAAAAATAAAAAATCAATGATTTTTTTTTATTTTTTCATGATTTTTTTGATTTATTTGATTTTTTTGATTTTTTCAACTTTTTTGTCTTTTTGAAGTGTTATTTTTTATGTTACAATTAGCCTACTAACAATAACAGTATATGGATCATAATGGATGGCTAAAAAGGGCACTTATTGCCTTCAATAATGGCCAACAGGCCAAGGTGGTGTTTACCACTTAGGGATTTTTGG